ATCTCCTGACACCACCAATACCTAACTGATGTTTTATTCTGGAACATCCTGCCCTAACATTTGGCACTGCTTTCTGTGTGCTCTTCCGGCCTTCTCCATACTCTTCCATGCTGCCCGCACTGGGTTGCCAAATCTATGGTATGGACAAAGGAAATCTCACAAGCTGTTAGAAGGTAACAGATTTCCATGGTTGTTACTAAGTAGCCTAGGCCACCGGGTCCCTTTGTTCACTGCTGATATATTAATCTTTCCCCAGGATTTGCAAAATGACTGGCCAAAGTACAAGCGCCTAAGAGTCTACATGACGAATGTGCCTATCAGAAGACAAGGCCACATGAGGAATAAGTAAGGGGAATGTGATCATGAAGATTGGGCAATAAGTAAATAAATTAAACCTACTAATAAATTAATAGGTAGAACAGGGTCATTCGTGCCTGTTCTTACAGCATGAGGAGGAGATACCAGAGGTTTGACTCTGGACTGCTCCTGAAGCCAGCCGGTGAACGTATGCACATACCTTAGTACACTTGGAGGTCAGAGGTCAACCCCCAGTGTCAGCACTCACCTTACACTGATCTCTGTGGTTCGGTGACACATCGCTCATCCTAGATGACATGAATGCCTCTGGAGTCTCCTGTCTCCCTACATCTCACTGATGTCACAGAGGTGCACTACTGCCCCCTGCTTTATGTGAGTCCTGGAGATTCTGACTATGGCTGGTCCCTCATGCTCGCTTAAGAGAGCACTTTGTCGGCTGAGCTGTCTCTCCGCTCCAGGTGCAACTTTTAAAAACTTTCTCAGTGGTTTGTTGAGTGTGCTCACTCAGAACACATGGATACATTGTGCACTCACCACCTGCTACTAGCATCCTTTCTAATTTGAAACAAAATCCAAAACCAACTTAACTTTCTCTGGAATCTAACTTCCAAAGATGCCTGCAGCAGCTTCAACTAGCCCACAATGATCTTTCCAGCTGGCACCTTTGACTCATCTCTCTTCTTTGAACACTTTGGTGGCCCACCTCCCTCGACCTTTGGCCAGTTCTTGGCCTGTTGTAGTGAGAGCAGGCCCTTTGGTTCTGTCCCAGCAGCCCAGCTAGCTTACACCTGAAATAATCACACAGAAACTGTATTCGTTTAAACAGTGCCTGGCCCATTAGCTCTAACTTCTTATTGGCTAACTCGTATGTCTTGATTTAACCCATTTCTATTAAATCTGTGTATTGCCACATGACTGTGGCTTACCAGCAAGATTCCAACCAGCGTCTGTCTCAGGTAAGTGATCCATGGCATCTGCCATTCTGCCCTTCTTCCCAGCATTCAGTTCTTTCTTCTCCATGCCTACCTAAGTTCTGCTCTATCAAAAGACCAAAGCAGTTTCTTTATCCAACCAATGAAAGCAACACATAAACAGAAGGACCCCCTATACCACTGCCCCAGCCTCTTAAGAAGGAACTACTTGGACAAGCTTGCAGGCTGTCCCTGTGACACACTTGAACGTCATTGAAGGTGGAGTACTTAGCTCTTCAGGTACCATCTGCCAAGACTCCTCGGCATAGCTGTCAGTCTCTGAGCTATAAAATCCATCTCTTGTAAACTCTCCCCAAGACCCTCCTTCATCCTTCTGCAGGTCCCATGGTATCCTTTCCAACTGTTCAGATTTCCTTTGAGCTGTGGGAACTAAAGCTACTGTCTCATTCACAAATGACTTCAGTGATCCCATGAGGTCAATACATAGCATACACCTCATAGTAAGCATACATGAAATAAATGAAGGAAAGAACGGTTGAAATGCCATGTTAGCAATAGAAGAAGCCCACAATGGTTCAGCTCTACCATCTCGCACCACTAAGGGTCAGCCACAGAGAGGGTGTGGCCCTGGGACACATGGTGAGCATGGCTGTCCACAGCAGAATATGGAGATGCCTGGCACTTTGAAGGTAGACAAACTAGCAAACATCTGGGAATTTTCTGACCTGGAAATTGACAGCATCTTCCCAAAGGCATCATGGATAATGCAAACTTCAGCAGCTGCAAGTCCCAGGCATCATTTCTGCTATTCCAAGGAACAGGATGCAGGATGGATAAGATTTCCCACACTGTCAGATTCCGGGAATTTGAAAATCAGAGACGATGGCAGGATCCCACCTGCCTCCTAGACAGAGACAAATGTGCTTGGAAAATTCACAGAGGCAAGGAATCTCCATCTGTGGAGGCAAGTCTGGCCTAAGTCAGGCAAGAGTACAAGAGTCCAACGTAGTTCCTTGTTGTTCCAGAATGCTCCAATGGATACATCATCAAGGGTAGAATGGACATCCCAAAGGTTGCAGAGACGTCAGTCTCTGAACCAGGGAATAACTCCATCTGCAAAGCCTGCCCTCCCATTCTCAAGACCTTGTCCCCTCCAACAAAGAGGAAGAAAAGCTCACTCTGTTCTAAGCCAAGAGAGGGAGGTGATGGCAGGCTTGCTGGGACAGGCCTGTCATCTCTCAGCACAGGGGAGATAGAGGTGGGAGGATCTTGAGTTTGGGATCAACTTGGGTTTTAAAATGAGAAAGACTTCAAAATAGAGGGTGAGAAGACCTGGAGACATGAGGGGAAGAGACAGATTTTAAAAGGGCCATAAATCACCCGTGCAGAGACTGGCCATGAGACACTCTCAACAGCTTTTGATTTGAAGGAGAACAAATTAATCATTCAAAGAGAACCTTGAACTAGGGAAAGATGCCATGAGCGTGCACTTTGCTCCCCTTCTCTCGCTTTTCTGTCCTCTCTTTCTCCTGTCCCCATCAGAGTAGACTCCTTGGGGCCCACAACAGAGGCCCACTGCTCACCTTAAGAACTCAGCAGCAATCAGTCCGTGGTGGTTACGCTAGGAATTGTGAGACCATTCTGTTCCAGGCAACTGCACTAACTTTTCTCCCTGCGCCTCCTTCTCCCAGCCCCATCTCGTGAGACACAGAATCTCTGAGAGGGCCACCAGAGCCAGTCCTGGAGGAGCCTTCCCTCTTTGGGGTCCAAGGCCTTTCTTGTTGGCTCCATATGAAGCTTGCCAACACAGCTCTGGAAACCCCTTCCTCTGGTGCCCATACCACTCAATCCCAGCTGATTTCTGGGGTCAGAAGGCTGTTTATTAAGAAAAAGGTAATCCTAAAGGGGCCGAAAGTTGCCCTTGCATGGAGTTGTCTGGGGGAATTCTACACCCTATCCTTGGAGCTTCCCGATAGGTGGAAGAGAAGGGCACACACCCCTGTGGGACACACAGAGCCCAAAGACATGGAGAGCAAACTCCACATTTCTCCCAAGTCTTCCTGCCTCTGGAAATAGGGACTTTATAGTTTCTGTGAAATCAAAAACCAGGGTTTCAAATGACTTGCCTTGCAATAAAAGATTACCTCCAAAGAGGATCACTGTATGTCCTCTGGACATCCATATTCTAAGTCAGAGAAGGAGGACCCCATTGAGACGTTCTGGATGAGTTTGGTGACCGCCCACCCTTGGCAAGATCCAGTGACAAAAGCTCCCTCACAGAGAGGTGAAGTGATTGGCCCAAAGGGATACAGTAAGGCAGGGTCTAGACTCTCTGATACCCTACACAATGGATGACAGCCCAGTCAGTGGAGCTGGGAGCAACAGGCATGAAGCTATACAGTGCCGTGCAGACACTGGCATGTCGGGACTGGGCAAAGTCCACACCCCAGTTCTCTGTGCTTCAACTTCGAGATGATCAAGCGAGGATGGCAGCAGTGTGGATCCCAGGATCCAACTTGAGGCTAGAGATCGTGTATATCCTAATAATACATAACTTCCAGTGTTTACGCAGGAGAAGAGACTCCCGCGTCCCTCTGAAGTGCCTCTCTGAGGTAGGCAATGCCGGGGAAGAGACCCAGGAAAGACTTCTGTTGCTTGCGAGGCTTAGTGTCAGGCTTATCTGAGTTAACACCTGGGAAGCATTCGGAACACAGCAAAGCCTGCTACGGAGTGAGCATTCTGAGAAAGCCACCTCTGGCCCTGCAGAGAGCTGTGTCTGCACCTAGGTATGTGTTGACTGCAACTGAGTGACAGGACTGACTTCCTGTTGGCCCAGACGGTATCAGAATCCTTCGGGAAACTGGAGCCCTCGGCTGTCCTCCCATGCAATATTGCTTGGTTTCTAACCCTAGTATCATCTGGGAAAGGAAGGACTGGCTGTGAAAGTAGCTTGGGACATATTTATTCAAAGTATCCCAGGAAGAAAAACTTCTTAATCCCATCAACTTGATGTTTCCCCTCCAAGATTGCTCATGTCCCCCTTCTGGAGGCCGCAAGGCTAGCCAGAGCTCCCAGGGCCCTCTGGCTCCATTCAAAGGCTCCTTTCTCAGTTTGGGCACTTTTATGGCCTTTAATGACCTCCTATTGTGCCCTGATTGGCAATCAGGGCACACGTAATGACCAGGCAGCATCACTTAGCCCTTATTCTGATGACAATGGCCAGAGTGGCCAGCTCGCTGTTTTGACATGAGCGGGGTCACAGGGAAAGATTTCAAGCCGGTGACATAAAGATCACTGACCAGCCAGTACCCTCGACGCTTCAGTTGCCAGGGCTCGGACAAAAGAATGAACTCTGAACTTTTCCTTTGACAAATGGAGGTCATTAAAACCGTGGTGGGGGCCCCTTCAAAGGCAGGTGTAGACCACGATGTCCCTCAAAGCGCCTAATAAAGAGAGAACAGGCAATTGTGTAAGATTCGGAGGCGGGAACTTCTGAGGGATTCAGTCAAGTGGTTCAAGAAGTCACAGAGCTTGGGAGAAGGATTGACAGGGGCCAGAAGTGCCTGGCCAGCCCACTACCACCCATTCAATGCGTGGCTGCCCCAATTGTTCCCAAGCAGAGGCCAGCACAATAAATGTTTCGGAGTCCTTTCAGAGGTACCCTGGGTTCCAGTGCCTTGAGCTGGCAAGAGAATCCAGAGAAAGCACCGCCACCAACTGGTATTCTCAACTGCCGCAATTTTAATAAAGTGCCGAGAGGCCTCCAAGCAGCTTAAAATATTAAAGGTTTCTTTTAAACACCTGGAAGATAACATCTAATCGCTAGATATTGCTCCCGGTAATGTATATGTAATCATATCAATCCCACCTCCCATCAGCAAACCCCAAACCAAAGCTCTCCCTGAAAACCTCCATCTCTACAGAGCACACGGCACCCTGCAAACTCCCAACGTGGCTTCCAGACAACGCAACCCCTCTGCTCCCGTAGCCAGCTGGGGCCACATGCTGCCCCTGCAGGAGCAAAATCAGAAGGGCTGACCTCTTGGAAGTCAGCAGGACCAGCCAACTAAATAGATTGCCTGCAAATGACTTGAGTCATCGAAGCTCAACCATGAAGGAAATGAAAACTTGGTAAATTTAGACTCATGTGTGTGTGTTCAAAAGGTGTTTTGCTTTTCACAAAAGAGTCAGGAGTTTTCATCCCCAAGGTCTGTGTGGCAAAATGGATGGATTTGGATGAGGGGGAAGCTGGGTCTTGGGGGAGCGGTACTCTGAATGCATCATTAAGAACATTTGCTGGACGCATTACACACGCATGCGCACACGATGCAGAATTCCTTACCCATGTGAGGGTTAGTAACAGTCACAGGAGCAGATGAGAAGGCAGGGGACAGGCAGCCACAAAGCCCAGAGGAAACAATTGTGGAGACAAGTAAATGGAGGTTCCACCTCCCCAAAATGTGCCCTCAAGGCAGAATCACGTCCTTCAGATTGTCCAAGGACAAACCATTGTGGGTTCTTGGGCAGACGACTGTGTCATCTGGGCTGAAGGAAAAGGTGATGACTCACAGATCCTGGGGAAGAGCACACAAGCCGACTCAGATGGAAGTCCACTTAGACCCCTTTCCAAGGAAAGCAACATTACCCTCGCTGTGCCGCAGATATCAAGACTAAGGAGGCTTTAGTGGGAGAAAGGACATTCTTCTTTCCAAAGTGTCCAGGAACACAGTCTGAGTCACCGGGGCAACTCACTCCAATGCGTGTCGCAAAGACCTTCAGCACAGAGCGAACTGCCTTCTCTTTATCCTCAGAAGATTGTCATGGAGTCTCAGATAACCCAACAGTGGGCAAGTCACCAGGAGAAAACCCGTTTTCATTACAAGTAGATGCAGTGTGCCCTCTTATCCAGACAGGACCCCAGCAGACACCCAACGCCATGGCAGCGCTTCGTCCGAAGCACGTATGTCCGATAAATTTGGGCACAGCAAGGGATTGGTACCAATAAGCAATAACAAAATAGAGCAGCTGTGGCGATCTAGTCTGCTGCTTAACTTCTTAGCTCTTCTGGAGTTTCCCACGTAATGTTTTCAGAACATGGTTAACTGTGAGTAACTGGATCTGGCAACAGAGAAAGCACATATAATATTACCACATATAAGGTAGACCTCCCCGGGCTATGGAAATCACTAGGGCTATCCTGTGCCCTTGACTTTTTTAAAATAGTCGACTCAAACATTCCAAAAAAAAGTACACTTTCAAGTGTCACATTTTCATGCAGCTGTACTTTGAGGTGCTATGCCTTTAGCCCCAACAGATAAAGACCTGCCACCTTCGTTGGAATGGCAGACATTAAGCAGATAACTCAAGTAATGAGTATTATTATCTGAAATGCCATGAAGGAAAGCAAAGAGTGTCCTGAACACCTGAAGATCTGTCCCTTCTGGAGGGTGGGAAAGGACTAGCGAGAGGTTCCCATCCTAACACAGGCCATCAGAAAGGGCACTGGTACAGACAGAGACAGCTCGGGCAGGGAAAGGATGTCTACAGAGGGGTTGCCACAAGAGACGGTGGCTTGGAATTCCCCAAGGAGGGGCAAAATGACTAACTAGGGTAGAAGAAACTTCCACTCCCAGCCACCTCGGTTTCTCTGCACACTTTAAACATCAGAGTCTGAGCTGAACTAGAATGGCAAGGACGCCCAAGGCAAGAAATAGAGGGGTGGGCCACCGTGGGCTAGTGGGTTCACAACTTTGCTGAGACTGGAGGAGGAACAGAAAGGAGAAAAGGAAGTGGGGGGCGGGAGTGCAGGGTGAGGAAAATGAGGATGAGGAAAAGGGAGAGGATGAGAAGGAAGGAGAAAAGAGACAGGAGGGGAGGGGAGGGAAAGGGAAGGGAGTGAAATGATGACGAGGAGGGGGAGGGAGACAGGGAGGAGAAAGAGAAACTGAAAAGAAAGTTTGATTGTGAGATTCTGTCCTCTCAGGAGTTGAGCCAGAAGTGTCTAGAAACATCTAGAAAATGAAAACCTGTCCGATTCTTAAGTGTATTCAACTGTCCTGGATGAAAACATCCAGCAGCAACTCCGCGATGAATTCACCCCACTACCACCTCTCAGTCTGCAATCAAACCCGGGATGCCATTCCTGCATAGCAACAGCCCGTATCTGGTCCTTCGAACCCCCCACCTTTGAGCATGCTAGTGGAAAATCATCGTTACCTATAACCAGCACTCACTCATCATCTGCACAAGTTGTGGAGAGTGACATAAACCTACACCCCACTCAACCAAATGTTTGGGTCAAGATGGAGAGATAGTGAGCCAAGCATGGAGACACATAGTCATGATCCCACTTAGGAGGCAGGAGCAGCCTGTTCATGATGATCATGAGTTCAAAGCCAGCCTGGACTACCTAGAGAGATTCTGTCTTGAAAGAAAGAAGGAGGAGAGAGAGAGAGAGAGAGAGAGAGAGAGAGAGAGAGAAGAAGAAGGAGG